TATTTGTATTAGCCCAAAGAAAATATATAATTTTCAAATTTCCAATCACAATTATTTATTATTTTAAAATAAGCATTGATTAAATTGTTTAAATAATAGTAATTTTTGAAATGAAAAAAAAAATTCAAAGATTTTTTTTATTATATTATAAATAAAGTAACATTTTCTTGTCATTAAAGTTTTTTAATAAAATTAATTAAAAAATCAATTAGACATATTTCTTATATATTTAAATAATTTATTAGATATTGTGGGCTTTGTAATAAAAAGGAAGGAAACTCTAAAAAAATTAAAATTTTACTTTCTAAGCTAATTATGATTTTTTTTGTAAAATAAGTCTAGATTTAACATTAACTCAAAAAAAAATTTTTTTTTAGAGTTTCCCCCTTTCTATTATTGCAAAGCTCCCATATATCTAATTGGGTATCTAATTGGATGTCTAAATGCTCAATTGAATAAATAGTCTAACATTAACAGTATTTATATAATGATTAGTATAATTAGTATAGTTAATACATTATAATAATTAATATAAAAATTAGTATAAATACGATACAAGTATAATGTTAATTTTATTTAATATATATAAAATTTCTAACACTATATTAGATATAATAATTAAAGTTTGGCTAATCACATGATTTTTGAGAAATCAAATTTATATCACATGATTAATTTAATAATTATATCGAAAAAATAAAAATAATCTTAATAATTTAAAGTAAAATTTTACCAATAATTATTTAAGAATAATAAATATTTCTTAATATATTTATTTTTATTTATTTATAATACTAAACATATAATTATATTGATTTTATAGATGAGTGACAAAATCCAAAAAATAATTAATAAATTGCTAAAATATAGTAAAGGTATAATAAAATTCTGAAACTCAAAATTAGTTAAAGGATACAATGAAATTATTTTAAGCAAGTTTCAGGAGGCATCTATAATTAACTTAATAAAATTTGCAATAAAAATTTAATTATTCAATAATTATTTTTTTTATTAATATATTATGAATAAAAAATTATATTTTCTATTAAGTTAAATTAAAAGTCATATGATAATCAAAAATCTTAAAATTTAATTTTTGGTTGAATCCAAATTTTGCTGTAGATGTCTTTATATATTGGTTTATTTTTATAAAACTTGAATTAATTTTTATTATATTAGATTTTATCATTACAGTCAAACTTCTATATACTGATATTCTATATATTGATATACTATAAAAAACTTTATATAATAATAAAATTTTATTTACTCACTATACTTGAGGTTTAAAGATGAGGAACGAAACTCAAAAAAGGCAATTAATAAACAGCCGAAACTATATTAAAACATAGTGAGGGGTATGACGAAATCCCGAAACCCGAAATTAGCCGAAACTATATTAAAAACATAGTAAGGGATATGACGAAATTATTTTGAGGGAGTTTCGGCTGGCATCTTTATTGAGGTTATATAAATATCGGTATAATTTGATATAACAATATTTTTAAAAAAAAAATTCTATAAGTCCCGACATATTGTTATATAGAGGTTTGACTATATATTAAAAATTAATAAAATTTACTGATAGTAAAAAAAGTAATTATATTATTTATTACTAAATATAAAACTTCAAATTTAATAATAATAATAATAATAATAATTTGAAAATACAAAGGTAATATAGATTAATCATTTAAAAATAAGTCTATTATAAATATAATACTTGTAAAAGTTTTGATGAAAAAATTGAAAATGAAGTAATATTCTTAAAAATAAAATCTAATAAAAAATTATGCCTTTAATTTGATAGAAAAACAATAAAACAAAATTTTCTTTTAAGTCAATAAGCTAATAAATATTTATAATAACATTAGTTTTTAATGAATGCTTATTTTCAATAAAACTAATTGTTATTATACATAATTTTTCTTTTACACTTCTATGTATAAGACTTAAACCTAATCTGATCAAAGATTTGTTTTGCTTTAAATAAAATAAATTTTCACCTGATCAAGCTTAGTGATATTCTGTTAGGATAATATTAAGATCTCTTATTTTAATCAAATGTTATTTTAGAATATTCGATATCTCTATGATAAATCCGCATTTATTTTCATTTGATCATTCTTTTCTTATCTATAGAATATTTATTATTTATTATCCAATTATTTAATATACAGTATATAATCTATCTAAAGATAATCTGATTTAGGATGAATTTATGGGAAGATTAAAACAATGTCAGGGAAACTGCCGGGAAAAATCAATTTTACTTTTATATGTCAAATATATTTTTTCGGCAGTTTCCTCTTTTCTATTGCTAATTAACCTTTTGCATATTAATAAATGATTCAATTTTTTCTAAAATAAATTAAGTGTTGATCATAATTTTAGTTCGCACCAGATGACCATTTTTCCGATTTGTCGCAAAGTTTTGGGGAAGATCTTTGATTTCACCGAGTGCTTTTTTAGATTACTTTTTTCGGAAAAATCATGCATTGCGCAGAAAGTTTCAAGTCAAATGATGTAATCTAGCATAGAATAAGTTATAAAAAAACCCCCCCCCCTCCCCGATTTTTTTAAAAATTTATAAAAAATGGCTTCTCCTCATAGATCGAAATTAAAAAATCCTCGAGTTAAACGAACACAATCTTCAACCACACTCCAATTTGCGCCTCCAAATTGGTTAACTAACCTTTTTGAACGAAGTTCAAGTAGTTTTGCGTTTCCTGGAGATTTTTCCGATGGGAATCTGAAACAATCATTTTCTCGTATTTTAATGTCTATTTCAAACGTACCTTACCTTTCTTCCAAATTATTGTTCATATTTTTATGTTCTGGTTTGGGTGCAACTTTGCCGTATCTTCCTATTTTTTATGATTCCTTAAAGTTGAGCCCTTCAGAGATTGGGATTGTTTTCTCTGTCGCCCCATTTATTTCCGCGCTAAGCTGTCCTCTTTGGACAGGCCTTGCTGATCGATTTCAAGCACATAGATCAATTATTGTCACAATTTATACATTGGCCACAATTGGAATTCTCTCGCAAGTACTTTTGCCAAAGCCAGTTATCACAAATAATAATAATTTGCACGCTTTTTTAGTCGGATGTGTTTTTATTGTTGCAATATGGTTTGCTTTCTTCGGTTTTCCTGTTAATGCATTGGTTGATAGTGGTGTACTAAAGATTTTGGGTGATAAAAAAGAGCTTTATGGTAAATTTCTTAAAATATACTGAAATCAAATCATGAATATTTTTATTAATAATTTTTATTTATTTATTCAATTATAGGGCAACAAAGATATTGGGGATCTATTGCATATGGTTTAAGTACTTTTGGTGTTGGTATTCTTTTGGAAAAATTCGATAACGTAAATGTTATCTTTTATTACTTTTTTTGCACTGCTATTTCTTTTCTCATCGTCGTCATTACTACCGATTTCAATCCAACTTCCGAAGAGATTGAAATAATACCAACACGTTTGAAAAATAAACCTTTTAAACCTTTAATTGATCTCGATGATGATAATGTCTCTTCAAGTTCAATAGAGGACATTAATAAACTTAATTGTGATAATTCATCTGCCATTGATATTTCTTCGAATATTGAAGAGTCCGATGGAGAAGATTCCTCTGCAGATGAGGATGATGATGACGGAATTCCAGTACCTGATTTAGACATTTTGGCCTTTCCTCCTACTACACCTAATATACCAACTTCTTCACTTTCTGATAATCCTTCCTCAGCAATGAAGACTTTATTTACAAACCCATCTGTTGTAACTTTATTATCTGTTATGTTATTAATGGGAATCGCACTTTCAATGAGTAATGCATTCTTATTCTTGTTCCTTAAGAATGATTTAAAAGCAAGTTCAACTATCCTTGGATTAACAGGACCAGTTAGTGCCATAACTGAATTATTATTCTTTTTCTATTCCAAAGAGGTAAGAAAACAAAATCAAATTTATCTGATGAAAAATCAATAAAATTTAATAAACTTAAATTGAACTCCTTTCATTATTAGTTAATTTCACAATTTGGAATAAGTTCATTGATATTACTCGCTCATGTCGTAACAATTGTACGTTGCACAACGTACATGTTTTTGCAACCTAATTCCTTCTCTCACGTTGTTGCGCTCATTGTGCAATTATTAAATGGAATAGGATTTTCATCATTATGGGTTAGTGGAGTAACTCATATCGCAAATCATGCACCTTCAAATCTTGTATCATTTTCACAAGGAATTATGACAGCATTTTATGCTGGTATTGGTACAGGATTTGGTAGTTTATTTGGTGGATTATTGTTTGGTAGTTCAGGAGGACCGAAATTAATGTTTGGAGTTGTTATCACAATAAGTATAATAAGTATGCTGTTATATTCATGGGGAGAAAATGGATTTAAATTTTTCAATGGGTTTAGTAGAAGAAGAAGAAATCGTATTAGATCACCATGGCAAGGTATTCATAATGGTCAAACCACTATTGAAAGAACAAGAAGTATTCTTTCCGTTGAAACTATACCAATATCCGCTAATTCTAAAAAGGGTAGATATGAATTAATTCCTATGGATGATGATGATGATGAACAATACCATTATGGTGTATTTGGTGATAGTAGAAGGTAGATTTTTTTTGTTAAAAAAATTATATGTAAATAAATATCTTTTAGTTCATTTAGATAAATTTATGAGAAAAAGAGAAAAAGAAAAAAATTTTTGCTTTAGTATAATATTAGTATTTTAATGTGACATAATCAATTAAAAAGTATAAAATTACTCTTAATAAAAAAATTATTCAATATTTTATTTACTTTAACTAATTATAAAAGGTCAATTAATCCATATATTCTATGAATAAAAACTTATAATAAATATGAAATACAAAATATCAAATACCCAAATATTTAGAGGAAGAACGTCTTTTAAATCAATTAAGTTTCTAAAAGGAATAACTTTAAAATAATTGATAGAACATATTGTCCTTTCGATTTGAGATTATTCATCATCTTCAAATTCAGAATCAGGTCCTTCCATTATAATTTCAGGTATTTCCATATCATCATCAGAATCATCTTCTTTAAACATTCTAAAAGATTTATAAATATTTTCATGATCCTTAGATATTTCTTTTTCTATGCCAACGGGAGAAGGGGAACGCATTCTTTTCTTTTGATTTACTATCATTTCTGAGGAAGTAGATTGTTCATGAATTTTAATTCGATTACTTCGATTACCTGTAAGGATATCATCACTTTTACTGACTACTTCCAATATATTATTATCACCGAATAAATTCCTATTTGTATTTTTATAAACATCAACGTCTAACTTGTTAATCGTACTTTCCACTATCTTTGAAGTTGTTTCTGTTGTAACAACATCAAAAGATATTTGTGATGATTGATCTATAACCATCATCTTATTATTATTATTATCGTCTTCTTTGTCTTCATTTTCACTTTCAGCTTCTGAATAAGATGGTTTTAATACATTTTCCAAGGCAGTATGACTTTGTTGTTGTTGAATCAGTGTGTTGACAGAGGATAGTTCAAGAGGTGGTAAACGACTATGAAATATAAGGTCACATATTGATAATGCATGAGAGCAAAATGACCGTAACTTATATCAAATTTTTTTTTAAAAAAAAAGTAAAAAGTTAGTAAAAAGGAAAATAAATATATATAAATATATTTAAGAAAGATAAATCAATAAATACCTGATTTGATCGAGAATTTAAACCAGACGTAAATATTTTCAAAGCATATGGCAAAACAGTAGGTTGATACTCCGAAGGAGAAATTATAGAATGTAATAAACATTCATATAGTTTCATATTTATATTATCTTCACAAGGTAGGTTGTTGTTTGAGCTATGTTTGTTTTGTGAAAGTATCCTTAATAATAGAATATTATCTAACGATGACTTTGTATTTAATGGCATTGAAGATCCACATGTTTTCAATAAACTCTTCAACACTTATATAATAATAATTATAATGGTTAATAAATTAAATTGAGAAACGCAAGAGGAAGAAAAAAGATATAAATACCTTCTAATGAAGCGCATTGGACGTCTACGTTCGTTTGTGAGCATGTCATCTCACTTAAATTAACAAATACGTCAGAATTTGTTATTTGTGATGATGATTTCTTCTTACCTGATTTCTTTTGCTGTTTCAGAAAATAAATTAATTAAACACATTAAATCAATTAAACAACATAAAAATACAGAAATATTAACCTTGTTAGTATGATCGGTGGTTTCAACACTAATTGAGATATCATACGGAGATTTTTGTATGATTTTTATATCATCAATTACAAAGGATAATAATGTCGATGATATAAGATTGATTAAGCTGATTCCGTATTTTTGTATACAAAGATCTATTAAATTATAAGTTGACACTCTAAGTAACCTAATAAAAACATATACAAAAATTATTATTGATGATAACGTTGATACTTAAAGACAATTAATTCGTACCAACTTGATTTTGAGTTGTTGAGAAGTTTAAGGAGGATAGAAGAAATTATACGTAAATGAAGTATCAAGTGTTCACCGACGCTAAAATTATATGATATTATAATACGTTAAATAAATGTTCAAGGAAACTTGAATACATAAAGTTGGATATAATGAGTTACCTTAAAATTACAGCAGAAAGAATTTTATTACAATGCACGAATAATGATGGAATACCTAACAATAATATATAGTATTCTTGTTTATCTTTACTCTCTGTAATCTATTATTAAAATAATTAAGTAAGTAAAAATCTTTTTTTTTCTTTTAAAAAAATTTTTTTTTTCAATTATTGATTATAATTAATACTTGCAAATGAACCTTCATAAATATTATAAATTCTACATAATAAATCTAGAACCTGGTTAACAGGAAATTGCACAGGCAAAGAAGTTGGTAGACTACAAATAAAATAAATAAATAAATATATAAATATATACTTTCATAATATTAGGAAAGGAACGAAATGTTACCTTATTAAAGAAATTAAACATTCACTTAAACAATGAAATCTTGAGAATAACATTGGAAATGCGATAACATAATTTTCTGACACTTGAGGCATCTCAAATCCCGCCAGTTTCTTTGACGCGTCCTTTTCTGACAAAAAAAAAAAAAAATTTTAAAACCATTCAAATTTTTTCTTCAATGATATATATATAGGTTAAAATAAATACCTTCATCAATGGTATCAAACAATTTATCCAAGGTATTATTCAAAGATCCAACAACTTTACTTAAATTTAATTTCCAATAATGCGTATTATTATTCATTTTACCACCAAAATTAATGATAAAAGAAAAACATTTGACAGCCATTTTGGTTAATTCTGATTCATAATCATGAGTACCATCTAATAATATACTTAAACACAATTTTTGAGATGGTTCATTAACAGGTCGAAATATTGATGGGAAATATTTAACCGAAAGTGATAATGCATTAAATATTGTAGGTAATAGTTTCTTATTTAATCCTGATAACTTTATTAAAAACGAATTGAATCTTGGTAATTGTTGTGTTGTAATTTCTCTCTGTAATTCTGGTTTGTTTTGTGTTTTATTAAATAATTCCGTTAATGTTATTATAATTTCTTTTAACACAAGTGTTGGTTCTGGTTTCTAATAATGAATAAATTTGGTTAAGTACGGAATTAAGTAATATGCGGTAAATAATTTTCAACATACTTAACTGTAAGTAAAGTCATTAATGTTGTCGCCCAACTTTGTAGGTTTTGTATAAATATTTCTTCAGATTGTTCAAAAGAAATTTTAATAAAACAGATTCCTGCCCATCTCGCTTTCATAACTTTAGATTGTAACAAAGAATTTAGTCGAGTACACCATTTATGTAATATCATTTGTTCTTCTACATTTCTTAAAAGCTGGTATTGTGTTATTGTTTCTAATATAAACGGTACATTTGTATCTATTGTATTATCATCTAATGCATAATTTGTAATTAAGGTTGTTAAAAGTTGAGAGGGTTCTATATTATTCATTTTTAACTTTTAACAACTTTTAACCACAAACTTTTTTTTTTCTATTTTTGAAAATAGATAAAATAATGATGAAATAGATGAAAATTATCAAGAAAAAATGGTAACCAATCAAGTCAACTGATAATGGCAGAATATTCTAGAACCTTGCCAACATTTTTATGACACCTTCGGTTATGGAACAACAATGCTTCGTTATTATGGAATTATGAATATGAACTACAAATTCAATTTTACTTTGTGTGGCTTAATTTTATGTCCAATTATGAACTCTTTGAACATGTTGGTGGATTTTATAAATTGTTTATAAATCATATTAGCCAATTGAACGCCGAAAAATTTAAAAAACCTGTTCTTAGTTCCCCTTTCCCCATTTCGCTTATTCCGCCCTTTGCGCTTCTCTTTCTTTCGGTCTTTCAATAGTCTTTATAACAATAATAAAATAAAAAGGTGTCTATATCTATCACTATTTTAGTGGTTTCCTTTTACCTTTATATATAAGTTCAACGAACTTTTTTCTGTTTTTTTTTAAAAAAAAAAAAACTCCATAAAGAACCTCGCTCAACTTTTAAAAATATAAAAATATAAATATGAGTGATAATTCACCTTGCTTTCCCTTACCTAGTAGAACCTTCCACCAGCCAAATTTTCACCACCCTAATGGTAATATACGTCCTATAAGAACTGAGAGTAATCATCATTCTCAAGTTATGCAAAGGGCAATCATGAGAGAAAGGTTTCCGACTGCTGGTACGCTTGATGTAGTACAAAGAGGTATTTATGCAGTTCACTTCAGCGTCGTATTTTGATTATTATCCAAGTATTTGGTATTCTAACATCTTGTTTTCGTTTTGTTTATAGTCACAGGTAAACGAAAGCATGGTTACGATTCAGATGATTCTATGAGTGATAATAAAAGTCCACCTAGTTCTCCCTATTTTATGGACTATGCTACGATCAAAAGAACAAAAATGAATGTCGAGGAAGATTTCCCTTTAAGTAAACTGTTAGGTAATTTTCACTCCTTATTTCTTTCTCAAATTCAACAAGTTCCGCAAAGTTCATTTCTAATCCTGGCTCTGTTCTCTCTTTTTTATTATTTTTTTATTTTTTTATTTTTTTTTTGAATAGCTACACTCGATAAACCTCAATTATTGTCATTAATAAATAACCTTATCGATTCCCATCCAAATTTGCAATCAGAGATCGCATCAAATGTTCCTCGACCGACAATTCACTCTGTAACAAATGTATTAAATATTATGGAAAAAAAATATCAAGATAGTTTCCCTTATACAAAATGGGGACAAAGTCTGGATGATTATAGCTATAATAGAGTTAAACCTGCTATTATGGAGTTAAAGGGTGCTATTTTAGATTATTCCGCTCATTTTACTTCGACCGAAGAATTTCCTACAACAACATTTTCTTTTCTTCACTTGGCTACCTCTATTACACAGCGATTGCCTGATTGGGACAATCATTTACATAATGAAATCAAACGTGATCTATACATTAAATTGTCTGAATGTTGGACGAAAGCTATTGTTGATGCTGCTAGTAAAGTTAGCGAAGGAAAACTATATGGTCAAATGGTCGTTAGTGAATGGGCTAGAAAGTAAGTCTTTATATGTTTATGATTTCAATATAATTTAATAATTCATTTGTTGATTTATTTGTTTTTCTTTTTTTAAAAAACATTATAGTTTGGCACAACACAATCGAGAATCTAATGGTATGTTCCAAAATGCCGTTAATGAATTTATTGATAAACTTGGATGGATTGCTGGTATTCAAGTTGGATCGAATTCTTTGATGTCAAATCATTCATACTCTTTATCAACTGGAAATAACGGAGGACATCATCACCAATATTCTGTGTTACCCGTCTAATTTTTTGGTGATCTGAATCTTGGACATGAAAATATGACAACCAATACGAAAGGACGTAAATAATACGTTGAATATATTATTATTAGAAAACAATAAATTTTATTAAAAGATATATATATAAATATAAATATATATTTATTATATATATGGAAAAAAAAGAAAAAACACTAAAATTATGTATATTATTGAAATATGTAGATGAACGATCCTAGTGTAGTGTACCTTATACCTTAGTGAAGAATCGTTATCATTTTGTTTTCTAATCGCTTTTTATGATAGAATCTTTTTTTTCTGAGTCGATAAAGATAAAACAAATATATATATATATAATCACATATTCTTTTATAAACTCTTAACAAAAGTGTATTTTATATAAATATCACTTTGTCCAAATATAAAAACAAGCTTATGCTTTTTTTGATCAATTGCGTCCATACTTTAATAAGTGGGAATAAGTTTTGATTGCCATAACTGTCAAAGTTTGAAACTTGATCATTTTGATTTCTTTTACGTGACAATATGTCATTAGTCTAACCTTTATGATTTTTTTTGCGAGAAATGTTTTTAATCATACGTGATATTGATAAATATTTTATAGGTTCGCGTTAATTGATTCAAGTGAACGATCAACATCCGAGTTTAATAAAAATAGAAAATGAACATGATATTACAAATTTTTTACGATTATTCACGTGATTGTTAAAGGTTCATTTATTCGGATGATTTTAGTATCAAATCGCTTTTTCCTCTTAACATTTAACCATGGACGAACTTATTGCAGGAGCTGCACTGACTACCGTGACATTTGTTAGTAAACTACAAGTTTGCTTTGATAACTTAACCATTTACACTAAACAAAACGCACGTTTATATATCCTAATAGGTTGGCAAAGCTGCATTCTCCCATTCCATGAACTATGTTCTCGTGTGTATTTATTAATCTTTTTTTTTTAAAAACCTTAAAAAAAAAAAATAATAAATCTAATAATATGTTATATTTTAACTATATTAAGAGACAAGTCACGACCAGTATGACCAATAATGTGGCGAGTAGAGTAACGAAATACATGCGAAAGGAAGCCTCTTCCTCTACTTCCAGAGAGGAGGAAAGCAAAGTGATCTCTTCAATTGTCGCCAATGAAGATGAACTAAAGCGTGCTAAAGAGGTAAATTTTAAAAAAATGATCTATTTTGATTAATGACATTATTTGATAACAATCTTTAGCATATTTGTTTTTTCTCTTCAATAACAGAGTTTGGGACTTAGTATTCGCATGATACTACCAGCAATCGATCTAATAGAAATCATTTCAGCACGTGGTAATACTACATTACAATCGACGGTTGAACACGCAAAGCAATTACAAAAAGAAATTTTATCAGTTGGAAAGAAACTTGATCCCAATTTGAATAAAGTTTCGGAAGGATTATCCGTTCAACAAATCACTTCAAATAATGAAATTTTAATAAAAGAGATTGAATTACTTATACAAAAAATTGAAAGATTTGTCCCATATCTCAACCTTATAATGACTACAAGTGGAGCTAATTTAAATTGGAGTTTGCCAAATTCCGTTAGTCCTTCAAGATTTTTACAATCTTCTAATTTATTATCTGAAACAAATCGAAAATTTTCTATCAACAAGGATAAACAAATGCGTGTTGGATCTACACTTAAACTGAAATTATATTACATGTTTACAGCTTCAGTGAGACCAAAATCTGTTAAAGATTTCACTTGGAAAGAAGAATTTACAAAATGTGATGCTAGTTTAAATAGAGTACGTGAAGTTGAAGGTAAGAAGAAAAAGAAAAATAAAGAGTTCATTTATGAATTGGTTTTAATAGAAGATTTAAACGACGGAAGATATCATGAAGAATTTGATGAAGGAGATTTTAAAAAACAAAAAGTAACCAGAGCAAAGTTGGGTAAACCAAATGAAAGTATCCCAGGAAAAGTGCTTCGTATCCCAGTGAGTGATATATCGCGTTTGTATTATACCTCATCTGGTAGTTTGTTAAACATTGAAGAGTCAAGGTCTCCGGTTTTAGTACTTAAAGTTATAAAAGGTTTATCTAAAACTCGAATGATTAAAGAAAAGGCTGTAAATGAAAAGGATACAGACTCAAACCCTTTGTATGTACCACCTATTGCGGTTACTCCGGAAAAGCGTAAAAAGGAATCAAAGTATCAAGCGAACGCAGAATTTTATGCATTGGAATTATTTCAAGAATCAGAAAACATTCCAAATACTAGTGATCAAGAGGTTGATGATGATGATGAGGAGGAAGAATTCTTCAGTAGTGATGAAGAGGACAAAGAGGAGGGTATTGAAGATCTGAAAGAGGTTACATCATTAAAATATCCTGATACTCCATCACCGAGGAAAATACCCTTGCCTTTAACACCTAATGAGTCAGCCTATCCGCCAACACCAACACCAAGAAGGGTACCTTTACCTCTAACTCCTACTCCTAGCGAGTCAGAATATCTTTCAACACCCTCACCAAAAAGTGTGCCTTTACCTTCAAGTCCTGTTGACTCGAAAAGTACTACGCGTAGAAAGATACTGATTCCTGATGATGAAGAAGATTCAACTATAAGTGATGAATCAGAAGGTGAAGCAAAGAAAGAAAATGTGAAGCTTGAGATTTTTGATAATAATGTAACTGGTACTATTATTCCTGAAAGATCAGATAATGAATCTTTAGCTACAAAGTCTTCAGATATACCAGAGAACAAGGAAACCGAATCAGATGAGGATATTCAGAGTAGTATAAATACTTTGAGCCTTCTAGAATTTCTCTTGCGTTTAAGTGCGTTAGAAGTAAGTGAACAAAAAAGTCACCTTGAAGTAACTGATGAGAAGCTAAACCTCTTTTTAAGAGATGAAGATTCATCTGGAGCTTCACTTGGTTCACAAACCCCAGAATCGACACCATCTAAATCAACATCTCGTACTTCGGGTCCCCGTAGTACACCAGTCAAGTCGTCTTCATTATCTTCAACTAGAAGATTATTATTTAAGGATGATATAAGGTTAAAAGATGATTTTATGGACAGTCCGTTGACAAACAAAATGTCAAATTTGAAATTAAATGAATAAATAATGATTATGAATTTCATTTGATTTTACATTTCTTTGTGTAATATTAACCAAAAAAAAAGACATTTGAACCTCATTAATGAGGTATTTTTACATAGCTTTCACATTTTCACATAATGTTAATAAATAATTGAAGTGTGACAATTCTTAATTTCACGCAATTGAAACTTTAAAATCTTGTACTTTATTAATTTACAAATTTGAAAAAAATTTAAAATTGCGATATTAACAATCCATAACTTCAAAAAAAAAAAGACCCGGGCACGTGTTTTATATACTTTACGAGTAGTGAATATAGAAAGATGAAATAATACTCGTTGAATTCATGATGAGACGTGTCATTTAAAAATTCAATCTTCGCGTCTATCATGAAGAATGTGATTTCTACGAACTTGATGACTTCCGTTTGAAGTATATAACCCTCCCTCAAAATATTAAATTACCGTACAATTAAAATAATGTCTACTAACGCCTCTTTTTCTGTTTCTACAACTCCCACAAATTTCTAATATTTCCGTATTTTCAAATTCACTTCTCATCAATTTATAAAATTGAATGTCATATCTATTTGGAGACGTGATATTTCTTGTTCTTCTCGCTCCTCTTGTATCTCTATTTATAATTCTTTTGATATTGTTATATCCTCTTATTAATGAATGCCATTTTATTTTGGCATTGTTTTGCCGATATTTGGATATTATTTATTTCATTAATATTGATTGCAATCCTTTCCCATAAATCAGTATGGTCAGAATTTCTTGCATATTCAAAATTATTTTGGTATTGAGCTCTTAAATTTATCAAGTTTTCGCAAGTTTGTAAATTCCAAAGACAAGTCATAAAAGAACAAACCAAATCGACTTTTAATTTAGCAACTTTGGTTCTCCTAACTTATCTACAAAACGAAGATACCGCTACTTTGATTCTTCAAGCAACAAAACAGATGAATGTTGATGACTCCGTCATCATTGGAACAATACCGGACCACTGTGTAATGATGTTCCTGGACAGACACAAACTGCTATTATTAATTACATTGTAGGAAGTGGTGATATCAACTTTAACGATCTTAACAAAATGTTTTGTTTAGAAATAACTTTGCAATTGCTAAATGTCAATATGGTTTTCCTCATTTTTGAGGGATCGGTAATCATGTTCTAATGATTTCTTTTTTCTAAAGAACTTAACATCAGGACTTAACATCAAGCGGTTATTTGTAAAATAAATAAAGTTATCAGCTGCCGGACGATTATATATTGCAACGTGACATTTACCAGAAGTATATTAAAAGACAATAAATTGTCATAAAATACTGGTCAACAATCGAGGTTTTTTTTTTACTATGACGGCGAACAAAAAACTAGTGAATATTTTCAAGTGACAACCCTTATTGTCATCCATTTTAAATAATCAATATCCCCCCAAAAACAGTTTATTTAATTCACTTATTTATTCAGCATCGATTGGTGTCAATTTATTAGTAGAAAATCTGATTGTTGTATTATTGTCCTTATATTAATTTTAATCGCTAATAAACTTTAGAAAATTGAATATTGATTCTAAGAACTTTTGATCGCAAAACTTTTTTCGGATTAAATATAACTTATGGCTTGCTGTAGTTATAATATGAAAGAAAAGTTTTAGAGCTTTAAATAAAATTTGCTTTATATGTTTCGCTTTGCTAAATCAAATCGAGTCTTGAGATATATAAACAAAATGCTGATATGAGTCAAACATTCTCTTCCATAAACTGTCTTAATCTTACATTTTCAGGCTTAACCGCCAGAAGCTTCGCATTCTCTTATCTAATTCGGAATACATATTTGTTAATATTGAATTTAACATGTATAACCTATTGCAAAAAGAAAAAAAATTACGTGCGCGTGACAATTGTTCACTTTTGCCAAGCAAGAAAAATATTTTTCACTTTATTAAAATCATGTGACAAAATTTTTCGTCTGATCAAAATAGTAATGTCAAGAAGTAAAGCACTATACGATATAAAATAAATGGACATATTTCACTTCCTGGAACAAAACGAAGCAAAATCTAAATGGGTTCAACGAGAAGTAGCACTACTATCATTACTATCATTACTATCACTGGCAATCAGATATTTTTTTTATTTTTATTTATCATTTTTTTATAAATAATTGTCAGGCTGAATTTTTAAAAACATAATATAATATTTTTTTTTTGTTAACATTAATGATATACAGTATATTTAATAAACTTACAGTATAAGTTTATTTTTTTAAATTAAATATATAAAAAAAAAAACTTGTTTTTTTAAATAAATGCTAGCAGGAAATAAAATAAAATATAAATTATACATAAATATATAATATTTTTATTTATAAAATAAAAAATAAAATTTATTAATTCTTTTAGATTATATTTTATTTGTAAATAAATTATTAACATCATTTAATTCATTTAATTGAACAAGTAAATCATTTAATTATTTTAATTGAACAAGTAAATCATTTAATTATTTTAATATAAATAATAAATAATGGCTTATTAAAATTTATAACATATATATTTGATAATAAATATGAGACAATAATAGATTTGTCTGATCTTATTACATATTTGTAATAGTAAAAAATAATAAAGGTTATATTCAAAACAACTCAATGCATTAATCATATTGAAAACCTTCATCTAATTGTACAATAGGTTTTAAAATAATATTTATAAATTCTCAAATAGCTTTTATCCATTTTCTAGATACATTGTATTATTAAGTAAATTATTTATTTTTCATATTCAAGAACTTTTTTGTATTCATTTATTTATGTATAGTATATAATATTATTAAGTGTAATTGTAATAAAAGGTGATAATCCTTCAGAATATTGAAATGTAATCTAGGTTAAAGAAAATTCTTTTTAACATTATTATATATAATAAAGTATATATTAAAGATAGGAACTGTAATTAATATATTGCAACTTTTAATGTTGCAACTTACGTTGCAATTAGTTTTAACCTATATA